TGAACAAAAGTTGTAAGTCTCATCTCAATTAGAGTATTGGGGAAAACTTTTCCCAAAACAAATAATGCATCGCTGAAACCTTTGGGCCACCTTTAATAGAGACCGTAAGATCTGTCACTCGGGCTACTTCCCAAATGAAGTCGTAAGACCCACTACACGGGCTACTTTCAAAGTGAAGCAGTAAGACCTGCTTTTAACCCATATTTGGGCAACCTCTTATAGAGGCCATAAGACCCGCTTTTTGGATTACTTCCAAATGAAGTCGTAAGACCCACTACATGGGCTACTTCCCAGCGAAGTCGTAAAACTTGACCCAAATCCAAACTACTGACAACTCTTAAACGGGGTTGTAAGATCTAACCTAAATATAAATTACGGGCAACTCTTAAAAACCCAAACTATAATAAGATTAAAATCCACATTTATGCATTTCAGTTTACTCGGGATCCCTGAGCGGAAACAACCCATAACAATTAATCAGCCCTGTATACTACAATCAATGGTTGTTAATGTTGGTATATTGAAACCTGCGATATACCCGGGACGACGGAATCATGAGATCTTGATTGGGTGTACCTTCATCTCCCATAATTAAGACTGAAACATTTGCACATTTCTACACTTCTTGCCAGGGGCGGATCCAGCTTCTTTATTTAGGGTGGGCAAAAAAAAATTTTTGTGAGGGATGGGCAAATATGCTTAGGATTGATAAAAGTAGGACAAAAAAAAAATTTAGGGGGGGGGGGGGGGAAAACCCCCAAAAACGGGGGGGGGGGGGGGGCAAAACGCCCAAAATACCCAAAATATTTCAAAATTTCCCTTCTAAATATTAAAAAAAAATATTTTAGGGCGGGCATTTGCCCACTCTAAGCTATGGGTGGATCCGCCCATGCTTCTTGCACAACTAAATATCATTTCATCCTTAATCAAGAGTGCTCTTCTAAGCATTAGAAGGGTAATTAACTATGAGGGCTTGCCCTCATAGGAAGTGAAATCTCAGAATAAAATGGGACCTTAGGCTTGCAAAAGCAGGGTTTATGCTGTAGCACAACTTTCACCTTTCTTGAGGGTGAAGCAATTTTAGTCCGGCTTTAGTTAAAATTTCTAGGTAAAAATAATCTAATCTTAAATCGCTGATTACTCGGGCCACTTTTAATAAACTTCCCATCTCAATTAGGGTGTTGGGGAAAACTTTTCCCAAAACAAATAATGCATCCCTGAAACCTTCAGGCCACCTTTAATAGAGGTTGTAAGACCCGTCACTTCAGCTACTTCTAGATGAAGTCGTAAGACCCACTATACAGGCTACTTCCAAAGTGAAGCAATAATACCCGCATTTAACCCATACTTGAGCAACCTTTAATAGAGGCTATAACACGCTTTTTGGGCTACACTTATAAATGAAGCTGTAAGGCCCACTACACGGGTTACTTCCAAGCGAAGCCGTAAAACTTGACCCAAATTCAAACTACAGATAACTCATAAACGAGGTTGTAAGATATAACCTAAATATAAACTACGAGCAACTCTTTAGGTATAGCCACAAATCCCAACCCAAATTATAATAAGATTAAAATCCTTATTTATCTATTTTAGTTTACTCGGAATCCCTGAGAGGAGGCAATCCATGTCTTCTAATCAAATTCCCTGGATACTACAATCAATGGTTGTTAGTGTTGGTATACTGAAACCTACAGTATACCCGGAACGACAGAATCATGGGATCTTGATTGGGGGTACCTTTAACCCCCATAACTAAGATTGAAACACTTGCACATTTCAACATTTCTTGCACAACTAAATATTCTTTCATCCTTAATTGAGTGTTCTTCTACGCATAAGAAAGGATAATTAACTGTGAGGGCTTGCGCTCATAGGAAGTGGACGCTCAGAATTAAATAAACCTTGATGTCGTTCATGGGGGGAAATGTGATTAAATTAAAAATTCAATCTACCTCGGAAAAAAATGAGATCTTAGGCTTGCAAAAGCGTGGTTCATGCTGTAGCGCAACTTTCACTTTTTTTGAGGGTGAAAGATAGGCCTTCAATGCCCTCTTATAAAGGTGATTCATTAAAAAAAAAAAAACTCCCGCTGATAGTCGTGTTTAAAGTAAATCTCAATCAAAGTGGAATATATTCTCAAAATGTTGTCAAATCCTCGCACAAATCATTTTAGGCTTGAATTTAACTTAAATGCAAGAATATCAAGAAAATTTATAAAAATTCAAATAGTTCAATTGAAATATATCACTTATTAAATTTAAAGTAAAATTCTTCCACCATCTGCAACTGTTTGTTAAAGGCGATAAACTTAAGAATAATCTTAGCTCACAAAGAGTAAATGTCTTCTTGAGTGTATCGCTTCATTTCATTTTTAAATAATCTTTTGCTAACAAAGGCATGTCATGTGTCATATGAGTGGGAGTGTTGCTGCCAAATGACATTATAGATAAACATTTATGATCGGGGCCTTTTAATTAGGTGATTTTGTCATAAAATGACACCATTAAATTATGATCACGATGAAATCTCATATTTTTCTTATTGGCCAAAAGCTCTTGAGCAATAAACCGTAGGGTGCACTAAATAGGGTATAAAACTCTGTTAGTTTAAGCCGACTTAAATTTATCATCTTAGACAAACATCTACTCCATGTTTACAAAATTTCTTTGTATAATGTAAAATTATAGTTGTTGACAAGAATTTTTTCGTTAGGTTGGGTCAATTAACTCCTTTGACTAATTAGACTAGGGACCGTAACAACTCGGAATGATGAGACCATAAAATCTTGATCAAGTTCATCATCATTTTTCCCATCATCCTTTTCAAGTATAAGTCTTAAATTTCAATCAAAAATTAATTTATTGTTACTATACGCCAAGCAAATGGTGCCTTGATGACTAGTGATAATTAATCATAGAAGTTTGCGCCTATGTGAAACTTGGAACTGTATTATAAAGTTCTTGCAAAATTAGGGTGAAATCTCTTCATTAAACAGGAACCAAAATAGTCTCTTAATCAAAAAGTGATTGAAGTTGATGCTAACATTAATGAATGTGGTTAAAAATAAAGATATTTTCTTATAAAATCTAATTTTCTAATTTAAGATGAAGAGACATAAAATAAAAAATAAAGTAAATCATTGTTCTAAGATTAGATGGAGGAATTTGAAAAATATTTTTGAGAGTAAGATTCTAGATCTTAAGATTTTGTTTGTGCACGAGGAAGCTAATGTTATGTGGAAAAAAGAAGGTAGTGATATTAAGAATGTTGCAAAAGATATGCTTGGAGTCATGGAGTGTCAATGGTAAAAGCTATTAATAGTAAAAATAGTTGGTGGATGAATCGCATTGTGCAATAAAAGATAAAAAAAAATTGTTATAAAAATTGGTTTAGCTATAAAAAATTTTGATAATTGAGAAATATATAAAGAGGCTTGTAAGGGATCTAAGAAAACAATTTTGCAATGCAAATATTTTATCTTTTTATGATTCATATAATATATTAAATACTAAAGAGGGCTAAAGATATATGTATAAGTTAGCTAAATAAAGAGATATGAATAGTAATGATTTAGTTCAAGTGATGTGTATTAAGAATGAAGATCAAAATGTGCTTTTATTAGAATAGGTTATTCAACAAAGGTGGATGAGATATTTTTCTAGACTTTTCAATGAAGTATATGAGAATGCGATTGACTAGTGAACTTAACACCCTAAATGGAAATAAAGATTTTTTTTTATCGGCGTATTAGTAAAATTGAAGTTAAAGAGGCTTTGAAGAAAATGAAGTGTGGAAAAGCTGTTGGACCTGATGATATTCCAATAGACGTTTGGAAATGCTTAGGAGATGAAGGAATTTCTTGGTTTACTAAATTTTTTAATACTATTTTGAATACTAAAAAGATGTCAGATGAGTGGAGAATGAGTGTTTTGATTCATATTTTTAAGAATAAAGGTGATGCACAAGGTTGTATGAATTATAGAAGAATTAAGTTAATGTGTCATACTTTAAAACTATGGGAGAGAGTTATGGAGTGTAGGTTGCGGCGTGACACTAATGTTTCTCGAAATCAATTTGGATTCAAGCCAGGTAGGTCTACTATGGAAGTTATATATTTATTGAGAGGTTTGATGGAGAAGTATAGAGAGAATAAGGATGATTTACATATGATTTTTATTGATTTAGAGAAAATATATGATAAAGATCCAAGAGAAGTGCTATTGAGAGTTCTATATAAAAAAGGAATTAATAATGTTTATAATCAAGTTATTAAGGATATGTATGCATGAACTGGTACTTATGTTCAAACACAATGTGGTTTGACCAAGTTTTTTTCTATTTTAGTTGGATTACATCAAGGACCAGCCTTAAACCCTTATCTTTTTTGCTTTAGACATTTGCAAGAGGTTGTACCATGGTGTATTTTTTTGCTAATGATATTCTTCTTATTGATAAGGCTAGAGAGGGAGTTGAAGGTAAATTTGAATTATGGAGGTCAACCTTAGAGTCTAAAGGCTTTATTTCGAGTAGATCTAAAACTGAATATATGGAGTGTAATTTTAGTAATAATAGATCTGGTGGGGGGATTGTAACTTTGAGCGATCAAGTCATTAATAAGAGCACACATTTTAGATATCTTCGATCTATTGTTCAGAGTGATGGTGAAATAGATGGGGATATTATTAGTATAATTCAAGTTGGATAATTTGATTTTATTATAACAAAATGAATTGCGTTTAGTTTTTTTTTCATTTTGCAATCTTTTTATTTTATTAAAATTCTTACTAACAGATTAATTTCCATATAATCAATATTATAAAAATTAAAACTTTCTGTGATTAGCCTTTAAATGCAACTTATTTTATTAGATAATTTTATATAGCATTAAAGAATTTTATAGTGAACATCGATTTTCTTTCTTTTTGTATGCGCCTTCGTTTCTTGGTAGGCCAAAGAATAAACCTTTAATATACTACATTGTTTACTATCATGATAGAGTAAACCGTAAGTAATGTTTGTAAATGTCAGTCCGTCGGTTGGCCTGTTTATTGGGGCTATTCCAGTTCAAATTTCTGTTACTTCCCATCAAAAATAATTTTCAATTTTGATTTTCACAGACTAGGGAGAATGTGGAAGGTCATGTTGGGATTCCATCAAATTCAACGCCAGGCCACCTGTGAAGCTACTCATCTAGATACCATTGCATCTGGAGGAAAACTCAGTGATTCACATGTAAATGCCGTAATGCACCTAGAACTCGAGTTGCTAAGGTGGATTAGAAACTTCTCTGCTTGGATAGATTCACAGAAAAACTTCGTTAAATCCATGAATGGCTGGCTTGTGCTTTGTCTTCGCTACGAACCAGAAGTAACTGCTGATGGGATTCCTCCTTATTCTCCTGGTAGGATAGGCGCTCCTCCTGTATTTGTAATATTCAATTGCTGGTCTCAAGTTCTTGATAGGGTCTCGGAGAAGGAAGTTTTGGATGCCATGAAGATTTTTGCTTCCAATCTGAGTCAACTCTGGCAACCTTATGATATGGAGCTCCGGCAGAAGATGATTGCAAATAGAGAAATGGAAAAATTGCATAAGATGAGGGAGAGGGAAGCACAAGTTATCAACAAGGAATTGGGGGCACTAAACAGGAAACTAGCCGTTACTTCCACTGCTCAGAATGAGCTCCCATTGAGCCAGCAATCAGAACCTGGCAGCCTTCAGTCTTCTTTAAGGCATGTTTTTGAGGCCATGGAAAGCTTCTCTACTAATTTAATGAAAGCATATGAGGATATCCATGCTCGTGCTGAAGAGGAGAAGTCTGAAGAGGTAAAAGGCTCACAGGGCTAAGTAATTGTCTCCCCACACATGAACACCTGTGACTTCCCTGGGCAAGTGTACCAATTTGTAATGTGTAAGGGAAGATCTTCCGAAGAATCGGCGGGGCCAAGGGCTTTCATAGTTTCAACAAAAAACTCACTCATGCTCTTCCAACGGTTCATTGAGAGATTATTACATGCACTGTCTGGACCGTCTGGAAGCGAATCCGGACGTGTCACGTCACCCGGATGTACTGGGCCCAGGGTGATGTGGCGCGTCCGGATTCGCCTCCAGACGAATCCGGACGCCGCACGTAAGAATTTTCCGCACTTTAGGCTTGCTATTTTGCAGCAGCAGCCTTTCTTGTATGGAGGAAAGGCTTATCTTTGCTGTCTGAGCTCATGAGGTGCTGGAAGTATATTGTTTTCCTTTGGTAAAGGGAATCTGATGAGAGAAATAGTGGCTTGCCGGAGAGAAAGGAGAAGAACTGAAGATAATGGAGTCAAGTAATAAAAAATGTTACAGAGCCATTATATTTTGAACATAGAAAACAAATGACCGAAGCAAATGCAATCTCGGTTCGAGCTCGGAATTCGAAAGCCAAATGACGTTATGTGAAGTAAGACTTCTGTGAAGAGGATCACAGAAGCAGCGGTTGCTCTCAGCTGGTGTTTATGCAAAAAAAGGGAATCAGTGCTCTATATTTTTGTAAATTATTCTGTTGATTCTGATGAATATTATCCAGTGGAAACATTCATAAGCTACTGTGTTGTGTATATACTATTTATCTAAGTGGTCTGAAGTTATTTCGATTTATTAATCTAGTCTTTTAAAAAATATCATTAGTTTCTTTGTAGAATTTATGCATTATTTCTTGAGATTAGGTTTTATGAGCTTTCCATGAACATTGAGCTTGCAAATATTATTAATCAAAGAAATGCAGCTATTTTATTCTTATGCTTCGTTTGGGACAAATTTTGTATTGTTTTTTAAAGTAATGTTTTTTAGTAAAAACTATTTTGAAAATAACAAAAAAAAAATGTGTTTAAAAATTATCCCAAATGAAGTCCTAATTTCTTAGAGATTTCGATTTTAAAAAATTTGAAATCTTAACCTTAATCATCTCTTTAGAAGATTAAAAGTAATGTTGTATATGTACGCTCATGACTATTTGTACAAATACTTGTTCGTAGGTATCTTGCAGGTTATGTTTGTGTCGAGTGAAGGAGTTTAACATTGGAGCTTGGCGGACCAACTTTGACTACATCTTTCAGGCAATTGCCCTCTCCGTCAAGGACAACTTCAAAAGTTTCTCTCTCAATTAGACAAATCTTAATCCTTCATAACCATACTCAAGTCTCCCATGCGAGACAAATCAACAGTTAAGTTTCTACCCCACAGGACATCTCTTGCAATCAAATCGACCTCATTAACACATCAAGATGCTGCTCCCCTCCTTATACCTCAATGGGTGACCTCAAGGCAATTTTTCAACTATACGCAAGCTCGATTCCACTGCTATATTTGGATGTTAATCAACCCTCACCTCAAATAGGGTGACCTCAAATCGACTTAATCCATGAGTTCATCCTACTTGCATCCTCTTTCATGACGATCATCAACTCATTTTGCATAGACGATCGAGCTACATCAAAGAATGATGGAACAATTACTATGTCTTGTACATACATATCCACCGTAACTGTCCAAGCCCTATAAAAAAAGGAGATCATCATCATGAGGATCATTGTTATCAACATTTTGTCATTTTTCCTATTTTCTCAAAGAAAATCTATGTTGTTTCATTCTTAGCTTAAGATCTGCAGCACAAAATCCTCGCTTCTATTACTTTTATACATCTGATTTGGATAATAAAGATTTGTTCTAGATCCATATTCTCTCTTTCTCTAGTATTTTGACTTTATCATCTTCACATCCAAGCTCTTGATCCACAAGTGGCAAAAAATACGGCCCAACATCATCCACTACATAAAATAGGATTCAACAATATACACTTGTTATTTATTAACATTAAAAGAAAATTTTAAATGCTCTTCAACCATATAGTAAAAAAAATGCTAAAATTGGCAAAATTGCCATATTACAAATAGTATTTTTTGCTCATCGGATTAAAATATAGGCAAAACTTCCCCTTAAACATCTCCATGAAGCACGCATTTTGAAAAAAAAAATAAAAAATAGAAAGAAAATAAAATAAAATAAAATACCAACTCCCAAATCAATACACATACATCATTTAGATTCTTGCAAAAATTCTTTCATCCAACAACTCATGGAATATTCTAACCCCCTCTCACACCATAAAACCATTGATAAAAGATAAATACAATGTAAAATAATAGTAATAATAATAATAATAATTCATATAATTATATAATTTATATAATATAGAAAATACATTGTATCAAAAATTAAGCATTTGAGCATATAAAGGAGACCACTGTTCAAGCCAAGGGCTCCTCAGCTGATTAATGAAGGGATCCTGCGACCAATCAAAGCTTCCATGGCTTGGAACCTGAAGCTCCGGCAAGCTCGGCAGCTGTCGGCCGGCCGCTGGCTCTGATGGCTTCATCATCGCCTCCGGCAAAGACGAGACCTCGGCCGCCTCTATTGGCAACAACTCTTGTTCCTCCTCCTTCATGTCTTTGATGAACTTATCATAGGTGAAATTTTGTAAGGTTTCATGGCCTGAGGAAGTTGATGAAGTGTCAGCTATGGAAACTCTGCTTTCTTCTTCCATGGCTGCCCGTTGTTCCAGCTCTCTTAATGGAGTGGCTTTCCTGTATACTTTGCATATAACTATGTCTTCCTGTTCAGAAAATTCATGATTTGAATTAGTAGAGGTTCAAACATGGCATCATATTATAAAACTACACAGTTGAATGAGTTTAAGAGACACCATTCATTAAAAAATTAAATGTAAACAGGTTTCGTTCAATTGTATTTGACTAAATAAAAGCTTGTCATCTTAAATTTTGAAGAATTGAGCTTAAAATGCCGTTGAAATTAATTTAAATTAAAAAAATAATTGACCTGGAATGTCATGACAACATTTTAGATGAAAAAAAAAAAATACATCTCATAATATTTTTTTTTATATTTACGTGATGAGAAGATGATTCAATTCATATATGACAGACATTTAAGTTTTCATATATATATTTTTGTATGTATATGTCTGACATCTAAATTTTAATATTTTTTTTTATAATATCTAAATCCCTGAATTATATTAAAAATTTACAAATATTAACTAATTTAAAATACCCTAAATTATATTAAATAATTACTAATATTAACTAATTTAAAATATTTAATGCATAAGGATGATGGTGATTTGGTTGTTCCTGCTGTTCAGGATCTGAAGGAAATTTCTCTTGTTTCGTCTCATGAAAAGTTAGATGTTGTAAACATGGAGCCTTGTGATGTCAACACGGTCGAAGTGAATGATTTCTCTAACAATTTGGATGACGATTTTGGTGGGTCTCCTTTGGATTATGCGGTTCCGATTTTGTCTCCTAATATGAATGGAGAAGTGGCATTTGTGGATGCTCCTATTTCTATTATTTCTAATGATGATTTGAAAGTTCAATTGGGATTGTTGAAGATGGATCCTTCTAGGGATCAGTTGGATTGGCTCTAGGGGTCTTTCAAGGGGGTGCTTTGATGGGCCTGAGGATGATTTCAATGAGATGTTTAATTTAAATGTGGATCAGATAGTTTCAAAAGCCTTTTCCATTAGGGTCTGCAAACGTCATAAAAAGAAACAAAAAAGAAAGTAAGATGATTATTTGGTTCATCTCTATTATTTTTTACCCTTTTCTTAGTTAGTTCACTATTTTTAGTTGTGGGTTATCTGTGCATTTGGATGCCTGTTTGTTGGGTGATTTTGGTTGAGGGTTTTTTGGTTGGGGCTTTGTGAAAAGAAAACTAACAGAAGTGACCCTTCTATTGGTTTTTGTTCTTTTCGGGTTCATGCAGATTGATTGAGATGTCAGACAATGATGAGGCAATTTCATTAATCGCCTCCTTGGATGACCTGGGCTGTATTTGACAACCTTGGTGGACGTTCTCTTGTACTGTTTGGGACTTCGTACTGTGGGCTTTTATGCCGCCAATGGATAGTCCTTGCCTGACAACTGGGTGGAGATGTTGAGTTTGGCTGGCTTCGTAGTCTTCTAAATTCTATTTTTGTCCTTTTGCTTCTTTAAATTGGCTTGTAATTTGTCGTTTTTCCTTCGTTGGTCTTTTTAGTGCCTTTCTTTGTATTTTCCTTCTTTGTTAATGGATTTTATTTTCTCCAAAAAAAAAGTTCTATTTTGCTGAAAACAAAATAGCTAATTTAAAATAAAATATATCTTTTTTATAAGCTTAAATGTGATTTAAACATAAAAAATTTATGATATGTCGCCTATTTAATCCATCATAACTTAAATTTTTTCCTCATAATATCTTAATTATTAAGCAAAATTTCTGCGGTGGAATAGTCTCTCTACTC